CCCCGCGGGGCCGGCGTCGTGTTCCTCGCGGGGGGGGGGGCTCGGCGTACTGCGCCGCCTGCCTGACAGGCCTCGCCCGGCAGGTGTGGTGAGGCTCGGCGGCCCGCGGCAAGCGCTCCGGGCTGGTTTCCTTCGCCTCCTCGACCGGGCGCCATAAATGGCACAATTTCTAGCATCGTTTCGGGACCAGGGGAGGCCTTTCCGTTTCCCCAGGACTTTTCCCTGGCTTTTAATTATGGGTGAGCTGCATCTTAATCCAGGCTGTTTTGTCTCTGACTGACTGGCAGCTGCCTCGTTCATGCCGAGTTTCTCTTTCACCTCTTACTGTATATCAGGGTTTTTTTTTCAAATTGCATTTTAGAGTGTTTTTTTAAATAAACCGCCTAGAGAGCTTTGGTTATTGGGCAGTTTTTAAAAGTGTAGTAAATAAACAGACCAAGTCCTCTAAATAAACAGATTCGTTTCGTCATTCCCCTCATGTTATTTCACTATCTGAAAAGCCTGCTGCTCTTCGCCCCTCTCGTTCGCGGCTGAGCTGATTGCAGGTATAAATGACATCACACGTTCTGGAGAGGGGCCCGGATCAGTCCAGGGCCCCTGAAATGCTCACAAGTTGACTGTGGCAGAACCTTGCACAGGTGTGCCAAGCAGTTGCGTGCGGCCCCCAGGAAGGGGCTTCTGGGCCGTAGAGGACTACGGCAGATTCGGTAGCCGTGGGGTGCCACGGGTCTTGTGGCGATCGGCAGGGCTGTGTTACTTCGATTTCCTGGGGCCGCCCCCTTCCACGCTCCTCGGGGGCAAGCCCCCTCCCCTGACTGAATGTTCTGAGACTGAGATGGATTCAAGTCAGTTCTTAACTTCTTCACGGGGTGTTTCCTGAATGCGTACAGAGAAAGAACTTCTTGTGGGCCCCCGGGTCGCCCTGCTGCCCCTCAGTTCTGCTGCACCCACACCCAGCCCGATTGTGTGTCTGTCCTCTGGAGCTCTCTCGGTTGCTCTCCAGGCAGGCGAGGGTCCTGCCTCGCTCCCCAGAGCCACGGCTGAGAACAGCCACAATGACCCAGGCCGGTGTTCATGGCAGGGCCACCGCTAAATGCCTGAGTGCCGGCTGGGCTGGAAGACAGTCTCTGGCCAAAAGCCACCAAGCCTCTCCTCTTGGAACGAACCCAGGAGAAAGGCAGAGCGAGCCCTCTCCCCGGCCCTGGGAAGGGCTACTCTGTGCCTTTGAGAGGTCTGTTCTGTTGAGATGGACTGACCATTCCAGACATGATCCCTAAAGGAGCTCTGCACGCCCTCCTCTTTCCCAGAGAAGCTGCTCTTCTTGGGTGGAACATTCCCAGCAGCGGCCAGCTGGTCCCGAGGGGCCGACCGTGAAAGGGCTGCAGTTCACAGCAGCAAGGGAGCCCTCTGCTTCTCAAGCCACACAGCACACCTCCTGTGGGAGCTCACAGAGGATCCTCGGTGGGAAGGGCCTGGGTGGGGCCGGGGGTCTTCACGGAGGCTGTATCTTAAGGACACCAGAGGAAAGA